ATACATAAATGCCTTCTTTACTTGGATAATAACCTTTCAGAGGATATTAGAATTTTATTGCACTTTTAAAAACAACTTCTACTGAGATTCATTCCAGCTGATACTTACTGTTTGATACTGCTTAGTACTAGTAGAAAATGATACCACAATTTTTCAGTTTATTTATTCACTTGGAGTTCTGTAAGTTTTTTCTCTTTAAATTTAGCTTCTGTCATGTGAATAAAGAGAAAGAAAAGATGTCTGTGTGAAATACCCCTGATCTCAGCAAGATCATCACTGCTGTTGCATTTCTATCGTGCATTTATTGTATTATTCATGGCAATGGGTGATGAATGCTGTTCAGTTACATACAGTGGTGAAGTTTTGGTCCCAAATTCTTCACAATCTCATGCCTCTTACCTAACATTCCCCCTTGACCTGTCACTACATGACCTCACAGATTGTCTCTCTCCATCTTTCTTGTAGGATCCCATCAAGGAAGGCACAATTAGGTCACCCCAAAGCCTTCCCTTTTCCAGTCTGAGCAATCCCAATTTGTTTGGAAAGAAGCCAAGTAATCTTTCAATGCTTTTATATTGTTTCATGTATCTGCTCCATGTGCCTGTTATGCAGCCTGGAAGCACAGCCCAGGAGACCTGCCTATGCTACGTGCAGTGCAAATGATCAAGTTGCCCAACTTGGTTTCACCAGCTTCTGCTGGATAAATAAGAGAAAATGAAAAAAAACAAGGAAATGGTGTAACTGTATAAAGAATAAAGAGTGAAGGATGGAAAAAAGTGGTGTCATCAGAACAGCTTAACAGATGTTCAATAATACAAGGATGGTATTAGGTCAAAATTCTAAATAATTTCTGTTATGTGTGACATGGGACTTTCAGACAGTGTCTTCCTAAGAACCCAGCTCAGTTTATTCTGTTGAAGACACAGAAGTAAAGGATTTGTACCCTCAGAAAAAGCGTTGTTAAAAAGACATGGAATATGTAGTCAAATGTCCAACTTAGTATTATGAAGTTTTATGTCCAAACTGTCATTATGAAGTTTTCTGGAAATTGCAGCAATCATTGTTAGCATATCGCTGTCTGCAATCACAGCTATGCAATCAAAGGAATGAAATTCTCCTTATCTTCTTTCAAAAGCAGAAAACAAGCTTGATCTTCCATAAAACCATCCTGATTTTAAATTGCAAATGTATATCTGATTGTCTGGGAGTTTTTTTAAGAGTTACAATCAATTTAGATTTCATAACTGCTTTTTCAGCATTTTGTATGTAATAAATTTTTAAAGAAAAAATAAAGCTATTAAATATGTACTTGATTCATTAAAACTGTGCTTATAGCTATATCAATGACTAACAGGCCTTGAGGGAAGTTTCTTTAAATAGTTTTCTAAAACCCAAAAATTCTTTTAGCAATATGAAGCCATATTCTTTTTTTCAGTGATATTGTAAAATATTCACCAGATTCTCAAAGATCTAACTATCGGAAGGAATTAATGTGTTTCAAGCATGTAAGAAAAGATAATTTATCCTAATTCAATTTTGCATCCTTTTCTGCCTATAAATATAAATAGAGATAAAAAGATGCCCCTTTTTTCCTCACGTGAGGTACATTAGGTACCCTAATCCTCCTTTTTAGCAGTGTGTAGGATCACCGGATTAGACTTTGCAGACTTTGTAGACAGCTAGAAAAAGGTGGACAGTGTTTGAAATATCTGCTTCGATTTCCACATTTGCTATTACAGGTTTAACCAGATTTCTTCAAATTGACTTTTGTGTAACAGTCATTTGAGCCACTTATAGAACAATACTTTACTAAGAGCATTTTTGTTCTATTTATATCCACCCACCCAGCGTGGAAATTGCTCATTTAATTTCCCCATAACTTCGGAACATCAGGTTTCACAGGGCTTTGGAATGTCAGGGCACAGAGTCCAGTGCTCTCAGTCAACAGGAAGAGTTAGGAAGCACAAAGCACATGCAGAAACCTAATTGGGATACTCAGGTTGTCCTTTGAATCAAAAAATCCCCACAGGACATGCTGTGATGACTCTGTGATTTCTCTTCTTTGCCACTCCTGATATTTGTGTTACACTGGAGCTGCAGAGCTTGCTGCCCCTTCTCCAACGACAGCAGATTCCAAGTGTGTGATTACACCATCAATCCTCCAGCTCACACCACTGCAATAGACGGTACACAGAAAAAGTAAATAGAAATGTATGACACTAAAATGCTGGCAGCGGTGGAAATGGTAATGAAAACCTATTAGCTTTAATGGTAATAGAAAACTGTTATCTTTAATGGTGCAAAAAATTATGTTACCAGAATTCATTACATATCTGTAGAGAAAAAAAATACCTCACATGACTTTTCCTATAGTGCCTATATGGTGACCTCTAAAGGGGAATAAAAGGGGGGTAGAATTCTTCCTATATGCATAGGAAGAATGCATAAAGCCACATATATATTTGGATAGCACACTTTTCCTTGATCCTCGGTCCTATACTCGTCCCAGATACCATGATAACACACAATACAAGGGACAATACTGCTATTGGCAGCCCCTTAAAACTTTGCCTCAGAGAGCACTCATTCTCACTATTTTCTCCTAAGGAAGTTTTCCCCTTCTCTTGCCAATTTATCCATCATGGGACAAAATGGGACAGATCTATTTTAAATCTCTTCAGCTGAATCCTAATTACTTTGATTACTAATTACTGTGTTGTGGTGAGTACTTTCTCAGGAGTGAAACTTTTCTGAAGGTTTTCAAGTCAGAGCAGGGTTTTCATTTGGTGTGAGGCCAACATGAAACAATCCTTTTTATGAATCTGTTTGCATGCCTATAATGCAATAATTTACGAGCACTGCATGTTTCCAGTTCTAATGCCTCCAGAGTAGTTCTTTATTGCTGGAGGACAAATGCCCAGCACCAGCTACTTTTGACACGTGCTATTTATATCAAATTGTTACAATACTTGCTGTAAGTTGCCACTTGGCCCACAGAGGCAATACCATAAGTGCCTTTTGGTAATCTAAATGAATCAAACAAAAAAAAAGCAAGGGCAATTACTTTCTTCAGTTCACCCAACACACCACGAACAGAACAGAACCAAGTCTTTTGTGCTTCTAAATACCTTCTGGACTCTCTTGGCATTTGCAGTACAAGGAGTTCTCATGATTCCTGACACAGAGCAGCTGTGTAATGCCTCTCCAAAGTCCTGCACATGATCCGAGGCAAGAAGAATGACTAATACACAGACTGCTGCCTTGTTTCATCCCAAAGAGTTACACCAATTAAGCTCAGAATTACTTTGGAAAATGGCAAAAGTGGAGTATGTCCCTCTTCCTCCCATCAGTAAAAAAATAAACACAAAAGCTAGGTTTTATGCAAACTAGGAGACACTGCTGAATTTAAATGCATTTTCATGTTCATCTTCCATCAACAGCAACCTGGGGAGACTTTGGGCATTCCTCACTGAACTATTAAATACAAAGGATATACACTAACAACATTAAAATAATTAAAAAAAAAAGGAAACAAAATCATAAAGCCTTACCAGAAATAAATACACTCTAAAATACTTCAGGTATTTTCCAAGGAATAATAATTCAGTTACTTAACATCCTAATAATCAGCTCTTTCCTCATATACTTGCGGAGATTTAACAGCAAAGTCAAGCTGTATGTCCTTCACTCTGTTATCCTTTAAAAAAGATACTTTAATCACTCTTCATTCCACATTTGGTACACTACACACATAGGCACAAGGAGATTAGTAAAATCAAATCTCTTTGTCTTTTAATATATGCAGCAGTGCAAATAAAAATGTAGAAATGAGAGGAAAATACAAGGAATAGGAGCAGCTGAGAAGAGAATCTCAGACCAGGCAGAAAAATCTTCAAGGACTTGTAAAAAACACACTACTTCAACAAGCGAATTCATGGAGTGAACTGCATAAAATGAATTATTCAATCAAAACCCAGCAATAGGTTGTGTAGCAACAATAAAAGATTTCTTCATCTGCTTCTTTGTTTAAAAGTAAGGAAAATGGAAGGGAAGGACAGAAAGAGAATCAGCTTTCTGCTCAGCACTAATAGCAGAGGGAGAAGCAGATGCTACTTCAGGAATCAACTTGTCACCTTTAACTTTACCTCTCCTTCTGCAGCAGATGTGCAGGCAACACATACAGCAGTCATAAAGTTACACTCAATATAGTTTCAATTTTCCCAGGGGTTTTGAGTATATTTTATGTTTTTTCCCCTGTGACCCAGCCGCGTTCAATCTCCCCTCTGATTTCTGTTACAGTGGGGAGGAAATCTTCTGTGTCTACACGAGTATCCATGTGCCAGAATAATTATTCCAAACAGCAATTTTTGTTGTTTTCTTATGACATATCTTCTGTGGTGCGTAATGTGAGATTTCACACTTTCCTTTATTTGAACCATTCTGAAAAATGAACATCATTTCACTCCCAAATCTGCTGAATTCAAATAATTAGATAGATCACCACTGCTGAGCTCCAGGCAGACATCAGCTGTAAGAAGCAAACATCTCCCTTTCACCACTGTGTCAAAAACCACACAGCTTTAAGGTTTGATCAAATGCTCATATATATATGCTCAAACTAAAACTGAAGGTCCTGATTCTTACTGACTTGATTAATAGATCTATCTATCTGTGAAAATCTGTTAAATCAGGTTTACAACCCTAAAAAAAGGTGTTTTAAGAACAAATTAGGTCTTGCTCAGACACATCACTGAGCAATGCAATTTGCAAAAGTGCTGAGCAAAACAGACCCTTTTGACTTAAGTATAACTATAAAGCTCAGACCTGCTTCAATAGAAAGTGAAATAACCTATTGTAAGGAGCTTATATGAGGAACCCTTCTCCATAAATTTATTTGTTTAACTTCTTTCTTGTTTGGAACATCTCAGAGTCTAACAATTTAAAACCTAAATGAGAGAAGTGCTCTTCATGACAGTATTTCCTTTACCTCAATTCATTGCCTTAACATTTTCTAGTGCAGCACCAGCTTTACCATTTCCCCTACACTACCTCTGACCAACAGGGAATGTCATCAGTTAGAGCAGTCAGTTTTCCCCTTCCCTACAGAAATCAAATGTGTCATCTCTGCAGTGCTCTTGGTCTCTGTAAGCCAACAAAGTCACAGTCTTCACACCCCTTTCAAACTGGGCAGGCAGGTTTTGCTCATATCACTGAATATGTGACAGGGAGCTGGATTATTGTTAATCACAATGTCTCCAATTTTTTAAGCTGAAAAAAATTAAGGTGGGTGTTAGGCAAAGAGGAAGCCTGATGAAGAATTGTATAATTCCATCATTTGAAGGGACCAGGCATTTCAAGTTTCCCATAAAAGATACTGAGATTTAGCATTGATACAAATGAGGTTCCATTTTAGGTTGAAATTTTTTACACTATTGCTGTAGATACCTTCCAGGACTTGAGGATTGTTTGTTTGTTTGTTTGTTTGTTTGTTTTAAACAAGAAACTCCCCTTTTTAATACTTATTAAAACCATCCTAAAAATTACTTGATATTATAGCATGCTTCTTTTCTTAAATAACACCAATATACCCATTGACTCAGCTGACAACAATAGACATCCATTTGGATGAAACTACTTATTTTATACTATTTTATATTCTATATCTACTTTTCCCTCTTTTAAGTATTATTCAAATTATGTGCTGGGTTTTCTTTTTTGTCATTGCATTTTTAAAGGGTTTACCTTGTCACTCATTAGAACCTTTCAAGTGCAGCTCTGCCCAAGGGTTCTAACCTACATAGCATTCCTGCCATCTCTCAGGCACAGAAATCTTGCCCTCACCTCATCAAAGACAGATCAAATAGTTTGGGCCAAAGCTCCAGTTGGTGTAAAACTGCAGAGCACCTATACTTAAAAGAAATCTTTAAAGCAGACCTTTTCTCCCAAACTGTGCATTAGTTGCAGCTGAGAACACAAACGTGTTCTGGAACTCTCTGACTCTCTAAACCAGGTGCTAAAAGCACAGCATGAGCACGACACTCAGCCACACCCTACTCACCAAGGGGAATTATTGACTTTGAGGTTCCACTGCAAATCATGAACCTTCACATAAGCCTTGTAGCTGACCTACATGACGTTGAATTTCCATGATTTTCTGTTCCATAATTAAATTCACCTTAGAAGCAAAGATGCAGAATTTAGCATAGCACTAAGAACAATAGTGCTTTGAAGTCTAATCTTGCCTAAACCGAGATATGATTTTGTCAATGAAGATTATAACATTTATGCACTTTTCACTTGTCATAACATATTTACTGCTTATTTTCTACAGCCTTTCCTGGGTAAAAGCATATTCTTAACCATTCTAATGTCACAGTGTAGTGTAATAGTTTAAATATAGTATAACTCAAGATTTAAAGTTTTTTTCCTCTTAACATGGCAAAAGTAGCTGAAGAACAGATTTTGAAAAACTCCTCACTTCTGCAATGAATTTTAGAGAGGAAGAACAGATTAATAAGTAGCTAAGGAGCCATATAGGAGCCAAGTAGAAGCCAAGTTCTGAATCTGGCCTGCTAAATGGCCCTCAGAAACACTGAAGCTCTTGCTATAAAAGCTTCTTTGTCCTTTTTGTTTTTCAGATTTAAATGGACATGATAACATCTTATGTATATCTGTATAGAGTGTTCAGATCCTAACATTCATTTTTGAGTACCAGGAGCTCTCTACATTATTACCAGAGATTAGAATCATTCACCTCACCAAAACTCAAGGTTCTTAGTGGGTCATTTTGGATGAGAAGACAGCATTAGCAAAGAGACAGTATAACTTTAGTACTTCAGTGAAAAGTATATTAAACAGATGTGAAAATTAGTTGGACGAGGACTATTGAAAGAGAACTAAACAACTTCTCAGAATTACTACTTAAAATTACTGGACTAATTATTTATGATGGAGCTGGAGGGCAAGCAGATGAAGAAAACCTGGCAAAAGGCATTACAATGTCCAAGAATCAGAAGCTTGGCTATGAAATACCAGCAGTCAAGCTTTGAGTCATGATCCTAAATTCCAAGGAGGTCAGAACAGACAAAAAAAAATCAAACTAAGTGAAGGAGAGACATTTCTGTGTAAATGTCCAATATATCAAGGTCCATTTTAGTTTTAGACCTTCACACACACAGAGCCAATGTGATTTATCTCAAAATCCAAACTTTAAACACTTAATCATCAGTCTAAGTAGTTTTAAAAAATATCCTGGTTGTTCAGTCAGAGCATCACTCCAAATTAAAATATCTATATTGAAAACTCAAGACTTTAATTAAAATGGCATAGGAAACAGCCCTATTTTTTATTCTTACCAGTTTTCCAAGTGATTGTCTTATTCTACTGGAAATGTGAGGTATCCTATTAACTGGGAAGAAACACAAGGCTGTGCTGAACTGAGGGATTATGGCTACATATTTCTGTAGACTGTTTGCATTGGCTCTCAGTGATGCATTGTTCAAGCACCTAACATTCAGCAAAGTATGAAAAAACATGAAAGGCAAACTCCTTTTGCAGAGGCAATGTCGTGGAGCAGAGTGGATTCCAAGCAAGCATGTCACGTGCATTGTCCTTTTGTGCTTTACCATCATGCTCAGTTTTCCATTGCAGGACTTTGCCTTTTACACAGATGGATATTTTATGGAATTTGCTAAGGACGTTACAAGGCCAGAGCAGAGCATGGACATGAATCTAATTTGGTTTGTGTTGGTTGTGCCAAAAGTTTGAGCAAAAACTTTCTTCTTTTACTTCCTAGATTGTGTTTCTTCATGCCCATTTAGAATAAATAATTTCTATTCTTTACATATCTCATCTGGTATGCAGCTCTGAACTACTGTCTGACTCCAGATTTGCTACACTAAGCCCTTTCTGGGTTGGAAATGCTTCCAATACAAGCTCATAGAAATTTGTTCCTGCCTCAGGCTTTATTCCACACATAATAGTCAGTCTGATGTTAGGAATACTTATGCCACTATTTATATCAAATCTGAAAAAATTAGAAATAGGACCTTGCAGAACAAGAGATCTGATTTTTTTGACCCCTTTAATCAAGTAAAACTTGGTGTCAGCTCATCTTAAAGTTCATCTAAAATTCAAACCAGTCAGGGATAGCATATTTCAGGATACCCCACAATGGAAAGTTCTGTTCTGCTAAACTGTTATAAGTACAGTTTTTACTGAGCTAGAGTCTGATGGAGACATTTCTTAATGCAATCAAATCAACTGATTGTGGAATTATAACACATTCCAATATCTGAACAGCTTGCATACTACATTGGTATTATTAGCAGTTCATGTAAAAAAGGCTAAGACACACATTCGAAGTATGAAAATCTCAAATAAACATGAATTTCTTTTAAAGCTGGAAAAAACTGTGCTCACATGTGGCTACAACTACAGTCAGCCTTCCCAGCCCTCCAATGATCTCAGACATGTTTTGCCTTCCATAAGGCAGTCACCACGTGTATTCAGCAGTATTGTTTGTCTTAAGTTACAGATTACATTACATCATTACAAAGTGTCTCCTCTTCTAGGAAGTCAGTGGCTCTCCTGGTCAAGGAAATCAACCAGCAGAAGTCACAGCAAGACTGCAGACCCTGTTACAGCCAGTTCGTACTTTTCACTATTGGCAACAACTGCAGAAAAAAAGAGAGGTAATACCAGATGGATTTGACACTCCTTTTCATCAGGACAGCCACGAAAGGATACTCTTCTCTTCCTCTAAATGCCATTTTAATGCTGCTACAGTTCACTGCCACAAACTTTGATAAGGATACACAATTTGCTTAAATGCTTATTATCCAACAAGAAATCCAGACTTATTTAGGAGAATAAAGGTAAGAAATCAAGCATTTAAAATCTGCCACTATCCAAAAGGGTCACACTGCTCTGTCATGGTCTGTGTTTCACACCTTTCATATAAAATTGTTGGATTTAGTGACACAAACTTTAATCTTACAGCTCAAAAGGAATTTGCATTAATAATACTACAAAGACAGATAAACCTCTGCAAGCTCTTGCTTTAACAAACATGCCTTATTTAAAATATTCCGACATTGGATTGCCAGTTTCCTATCTTGGCAAATGTCATCAATCAGGTTCTTTCTATTTTTAAATTACCTCAGTTTCTTCCAGTAGTACCACTGCTTTAAAACAAGGAAAGAAATACATATTATTTTAAAATTCTAAAGAATAATTTGTATTATCACCAAGTGTTCTTAAAAATTACTTAAAATTTTTCAGCTTTTGTTAAAAAAATCCTGAAGGTCTAGTATACATGCAAGGCCATATGTACTCTGTGAAGAAGGATGCGTGGAAACATCCAGTCTGTGAATCCTCACCAGGCCATAAGGATAAGGTAGGTGCTAAGCTGTCAAAGTCAAGGATCCCTACCATTACATTTCAGCACAAATGTAGGAGCCAAGAAGGTTTTACAGGTTTGCAGACCCTCTAAGATACAACTTAGATGAACAGAAAGGGGCTTATGCCCATCCTCACACCTATGTGACCTACATATGCTCTAGAGTTGGCAAGTTCCTTCCTCATGTGAACTCACGTTCCTGTGACCTCCATTTCACTCTTTGGCTGTACAAGGTATTCCTCAATTTCAAAAATATAATTGTCATCCAGATTTTCTGACAATGGTTTCTCATCTTTCATAAGTGTTTGATATTACTGTGTCCTCTTCTTTTATATTCACTGATTGAAACTTGTTTGGTTCAATTTCCATTGCATGAAATATAAATGCAGTAGCAAATGAGTAATTTAAGGATGAGTAAGAAGTAATCTAAGGTCAACAGAGACCCAAGCAGTGAAACAATATTTTTCAAGACTGTATGAAACAACTGAAATGGAGCAGCTCACATAAACAGCCTGTTTAGCTTATTTCAGTGTCTCTTCTTGATGAACCTTCAGAAAACAGACAAATGTATCACATAAAGCTCATACTCAGCAGATGTAGGTCTTAGAAAGAAGCCTCTCTACAGATCCTCCACAGTTGCATTGGGAAAAGCATCGTCAGATTTCACTGTCTTTTAGGCTGTATAAATTCTTCCAAAAACACAGGGAAAATGTCACTTCGTGTTAAATATTGATGCCTGTTCCCATACAGTGAATTATCCTCCAAAGCAGCATTAGGGTCGATGTATATTAAAACCTGTCACTGCAAAACTTCATTCCTTTATATAGGCAACATAAACAATGCTGAATATACTGCAGAGCACAGAAGGAAGGACTCTTCTTCAGAGGAGTCTTTTCTCAGCACATAAAATGCCTGGTAATAAAATAGGCACAATTTTTTTCCGTCAGCTTTTGTTCTCTTCTTTTTTATTTTTTTTTTTTTTGCTGTTTCTCCTACTTTTAAGTCTCCTTAGGCATCAGTAGAAAAAATGTTACCCATAAAGATCTGAAGTGGCCATAGTAATTGCAGAGCAATGCCAGATGCAAGATCTAGGTCTGGGGGCCAGGCTGTTCCTCCTTTTTCGAACCATTCAACTCCAGTAAGCAAGCACACCAAATGTGCAAGCAAGCACACTAAATGCACTGCAATATGTTAATCTAGCCACTGCCCTGATTTAATTGGCCCAGAAAATTGCTTGAGGTGTTTGTAACTGCAATTAAGGCTAGAAAAGTCTGGAAACACAGTCTTTGCTGGTGAAGAGATTTTTTTTAATTATTATTTTTAAGAAACCAAACTCTCTCTTAGCTAAGACTCATGGGCTTAATTAGAGATTAATTAGACTTACTTGCTGCTACTTAGTTGAATTATAGCTCAGCAGACATATTTTAAGTGGCAGGTATAAACTTTAGCCTTTTCTATCTCTCCTTTTTGTCTCTGTCTCCAACAACCAGAACTTCCTCAGTCAGCAAATTCATTCAGTTCAAATCAGAGTAATTGTCCATCTCTGCCCTTATCTTCACAACTTGAAGATACCTACTATAATTCGTCCTAATCAAATGAAATTAATTTTTAGAGAACAATGACCCTTACCTGCCACTGTTACCATGCTGTGGCCTGTAACCCTGCAGCTGGAAATAGCAGTTACTGTGCACTGGAAATATCCAGCTGCATGTACAGGGATAAAAGTAGGGAGGTGACTGCACCAGAACAACAGGCAAATTATCTAGTTTAGTCCACAAATCAGAGACAAAATCTTATATAAAAAGCACAAATAACAGTAACTGATGCAGCAGCTATGGGTGAGATATGGGAGTCCATTTTCAATTAGACTCCCAGATTTTTCAGAAGTGCTCAGCCTGGAACAGAGCTCAGCACAAACCATGGCTAAAAACACAAAGCTTTTCTGCAGGCGTCTAAAGTTCCCTTTGCAAGACACTCATGCACCATGGAACAGGAGGTCAAACATACTCCTTCAAAAAATTCAGTAAAAATACTGAAACTTAGTATGTGTAAACTGAGGTTTACACATAAGAGTTTATCTAAATTAGCAAATGCTAACAACACTGAATTTAATTTGACCTATCCAATTCTGAGTTTACTATTATTCTGGATAACAGCAGCAGGTACAATTTCAATACTTACATGATTCATTTTCATTAAGTTGGAATGGCATCATGTTGTTATTGTCTGGTTATTTGGGTTTAGTGGGGCCAGCAGAATGTTCCTCTGTTGGGTTTGATGGTTATTTTTGGGAGAGATTGTTTTGTTTTCAACAGACTGTTCTCCAATCCTGTTGTCACAGCAACAGTGGACATAACTAGCTGACACAATTTTTTCCTGCAAGCCTTCAGTGCTATTCAGATTTCAGATTGAATTTAATAAGCCAATTTAACAGCCTTCCTGAATCTAATTGCAAGTTTTGCTAATACTATGACATTATCCTTTTCAATACATTCTGAAAGATTTCAATAAATTCTTTTCGTATAGACTAGTGAGTTTTCTTTGCTTAAATATATGTTATGAGTTTTCTCCCCTCCATATTCAAATAGATAAGCCTTCACCCTTGTAAATTTGGATCTTTTCTTACCATTTGAAAAAAAAATGGTAAGGTTAGAAACATTTAGAGGTCTTTGTTTTACAGTGGAAAGACTGAATTTCCAATTATTATACAGTAAGGAAATATACCTTTGGGGTTTCCTTTAAGGAAAAAATCAGCTCAGTCTACCAGACTTCCCTCTGATTTTATAGGCTCAACTTGTAAGCAGCAAATCTATTCTAAGTATGAATATATTCACCCTGAAACAATAAAACTTATTGCAGTACCCTGCCTTGAACAGAGCAGTTTTAAAGTGGTGAGCCCATGCTATTACACCAATATATTCTGAATAACACATCTCTCTTAAAAGACCTCTAAAACGCAGTTGTAACATCTCCATGGCACTTTCAAAGGTAACCACAACACTGAAGTGCAGCACTGCTGGGGTTGATACAGATGGATCATTCAATTCACTGCATTCCCCATAACCCCACTATCTCAGAGAGCAACAGGCTAGCAGTGAGGATATTTAGTCACACAGAGCCATGACACTGAGCATGTGCAGTTTTGTTTCACTAAATTTACTAGTACTGAAATTTATCTGAAAGGTGTCTTTGTAATTTTGTAGGGAAAATATGTTATATGGATTTTTTCCAATTGCAGCAAGAGTGGGCTTTGGGTTTGCTAAGCAGAACCTGCAATGACAAAGTGCTGTCCTGAACAAAAGGAAAAATGGCCTTGAACTGATGCAGCCAAAAATTCTGAGTATTCTGCCCTTTCAAGGAAAAATTATTATGCCATATATGTCTAAGTCATCAGAGTTTGACAAGAAGAATCAGGTCACTCCTAGGACTGGAAGTGGGGATTTGTGCTAGCATTTTTCAAAAGGAAAAATTGCCTTTTAACACAAACACACAACTCATACTCCAAGTCACAAAGCACATTGCATTCCTGTAGTATTAGAAGATTTTATAAGAGAGATGTGTGAAGTCATTCTGATCGTACCTACTGTGCAGTCAAAACAAATCACATAGGGCTTTGTACAGAAATTAAGGTTTCTTGAAATCTTACCAGTTCAGACACCAAGAGCTCTCAGACATACCAGAACAAAAAATGAAAGAAAAAAAAAAAAAGAAAAAAAAGAAGTCAAATTTAACCTGGTTTTGGCCAGGTTTATGCATTCTGTGGTAAACTTGGTGCTGTTGGGGTGAGAATCAGAATGCCTAAGCTGGTTGTGTCACACAATAGTCACAAGTTTGATTTTGGATACTGTTTCCTGGTCTTTCCCTGCTTTTCTGTGTTGAATTATTGGAGTTCAGAGCTCTTGAAAATCCGATTTAGTTTACAAAATAGTATATGGATCTCTGCTGTTGCAGTGATATAATTCAAATCGATATGACTATGATAGATCTTAATGATGTTTCAAACTGTGTGCATGTGTACACTTAGGAA